CTCCTTCTGTCTCTCCTTCTGCTGTCTCTTCTTCTTTATCTTCTTTATCTTCTTCTTTATCTGTCTCTCCCTCTGCTGTCTCTGCTTCTCTTTCTCCTTCTGTCTCTCCCTCTGTTTCTTCTCTCTCTCCTTCTTTGTCTCCTTCTCTCTCTCCTTCTTTATCTTCTTCTTCTTTATCTTCTGTCTCTCCTTCTCTCTCTCCCTCTCCTTCTTTATATTCTTTATCTGTCTCTCCCTCTGCTGTCTCTGCTTCTCCTTCTGTCTCTCCTTCTCTCTCTCCTTCTCTCTCTCCTTCTCTCTCTCCCTCTGTTTCTTCTGTCTCTTCTTCTCTATCTTCTTCTTTATCTGTCTCTCCTTCTGCTGTCTCTCCCTCTCCTTCTTTATCTTCTTTATCTGTCTCTCCTTCTGCTGTCTCTGCTTCTCTGTCTCCTTCTGTCTCTTCTTTTGTGGACGTTTCATTTATTTCATCTTTAATTAAAAAACACTGCAGGCGACAGCAGAAAACAGCAACCCCCCAAAAAGAAGAAAAAAAAGAAAAAAAAAAAAACAAAAATACAATAAACAAAAGCGACAAAACAAACGAAAATAAAGAGAACAAACAAAACCAAAAACAAAAACAAAAAAAACAAAAAGAAAAAAAAGAAAAAAAAAATATATATTCTCCTTATTCATGTACAGTAGTAATGGGTTTATTTAATATACCACCTCCTTCTTTAGGGCCCACAAAGACAGCTGCGGTGTATATACAGCAGCTGCAGCTAGGATTGCGTTTGTTTATAGAGCAAGGTTTAATTATATTTGTAGATAGTTTTTATATAAATAAAGTTAAGCATGCAGTACAAGAAGCAGCAGCAGCAGCAGCAGCAGCAGCAGGAATAAAAGCAGCAGCAGCAGCTGCTGCTGCTGCTGCTGCTGCAGCAGCAACTGCTGCTGGTGCTGCTGCAGCAGAAGGAGAACTAGATACAGAAACAGAAACAGAAACAGAAACAGCAGCAGCAGCAGCAGCAGCAGCAGCAGCAGCAGCAGCAGCAGC